ACTTACACTTTTAGGGAGCTGGTGAGTCAAGTGCTTCCATTGTTTTGACTGGGCCATTAGATTCATAATGATGGACCCAAGTTTCATCATACATAATTACTCTGTCAGAACAGCCTTCAGCCCATGACTGAAAAGAGCCTTTGAACAAGAGATTCAGGTCCCTTTGGAGTCCCTCGTGAAGCTGAAGAAGTGTTAGATCCGACGAGGACTTGGACGACGTGGAGGGCGAAATGCAGAACTTGGGTGGGTTCCTCGACGTCAGTTTGTGGAGGGAGCTGTGGAGGGAGGGAGGGAAGGAGAGGGAAGGAGGAAAGGAGACTCATCGAACCCATCTTTTGCATATGCAGATGCTCATGAATGATTTTCTCCACAAACCCAGCACTAATCTTGACATCTTTGGCCAGTTGACGAAAAGTATTACGGCGACCTTCTAAAACTGTAGGAGGAGGAATGCATCTGGCAACTCGATGCCACATCTCTCACAAAGAAAAGATAGAGAGAAAAAGAGAGTTAGAGAGAGAGAAAGAGAGATAGAGAGAGAAAGAGATAGATAGAGAGAGAGAGAAGAGATAAGAAGATATATATAGAGAGAGAAAGAGAGATAGAGATAGATAGAGAGAGAGAGAGAAAGATATATATATAGAGAGAGAGAAAGAGAGACAGAGATAGATAGAGAGAAAAGGGGGATAGAGATAGAGAGAGAAAGGGAGATAGAGATAGAGAGAAAGAGAGAGAGAGCGTGTGTGTGTGTAGTTGTGTGTGTGCGTGAGAGAGAGTGCATGTAAGCAGGTGTGTGTGCATCTGTTGTTGTTGTTTTTTCTGTGTGTGGTGTGTGTGTGTGGTGAGAGAGAGAGTGCATGTATGTAGGTGTCTGCGTGTGTATGTGTTTTTTTTTTGTGTGTGTGTGTATGTGCAAGAGTGAGGGTGTTTTCCGAGATACCGGTTCTCAGCTACCGCTACGATGCCTGAAGACGAAGTGGCGAAGGAGCGCAGACGGAGGCCCTGTGGAAGTGGCTAGCGTCTCCCAAGGGCATAACGAAGAGGATGTTCCAAGAAGACAAGGCGTTGGCATCAACGAAGGGACGAGCAGGGAAACGTTCAAAACTAACAGAAGAAGAGGTAATTAAGATGATTTACCGGACTACTCAGATAAAGAAACCAATATTTGTTTAACATGCTTCTTTTTATTGAACATTTGATAAAATTGTGGTTACATAAGGGCGAAGACCTAAGGATCCGGCGCAGCCGGTGCTTATATATATATATAGTATATATATATATATATATATATATATATATATATATATATATATATATATATATATATATATATATATATATATATATATATATATATACTATATATATATATATAATAAACATTGTATCAATGTACAAAAAATGTCCAAAATTTAAAAAAAAGAAAAAAGATCAAAATGTTAACAAATGTTTTTAAAATGATAAGAAATGTTAAAAAATAAAATATTTTCAAAATATATTTTAAAATGATAAATATCAAAAATGTTTCAAAATGTTTAAAATTACGGCATTTTGGGGTCACCCCTTAAAAGGTACTTAAAAGGGAATGAAAATATAACCCTTTCAAAAGGATTCAGAAATCAAGTGTTTAAGCGTGTGTGGTGTGTTTATGTGTATGTATGTGTATTGTTTGTTTGTGTGTCAATTTGTGTGCGTGTGTATGCGTGAATGTATATGCACTTACACACAAATGCAAGTTAAGACCATCATGATAATACTGTTGTTATTGTTGTTGTATTGATCATTTTTCTATGTATATACACACATATATATATAAAATAGATAAATAAATAGATGAATATATATACATATATATATATATATATATATATATATATATATATATATATATATATATATATATATATATATGAACGTATTCATGTTGACAAATGTGGAAAGGTATAAATGAGAACGAATATCTTCACAATACAAGAGATGTATTTAATATATATTTTTGTCAGATATACGAATATATCGAATATAAATATATCATATACATATAGATATAAATATATATATTATATATATATAATATATATATATATATATATATATATATTATATATTCACATATATACATATAAAGAGGAAGAGGGAGAGAGAGAGAGGGGAGAGGAGAGGGAGAGAGAGAAGAAACCGGGAAAAAAACTGTACAGGTACGTAATCTACGGTTAAAACCCACATTCCATTTGCTTTATGTCAATATACGTGATTATCATTATTATTATTATTTTATTATTATTATTATCATTATCATTATCATAATCACCATTATTGCTATTATTATTATTATTATTATTATTATTATTATCATTATAATCACCATCATTGTTATTATCATTATTATTATCATTATTATTATTATTATCATTATCATTACTATTTTTATTATCATTATCATTATTATCATTATTATATTATTATTATTATTATTATCATTATTACTATTTTATTATTA